CCTCCTCATTCCTAACCTTCCAACGGATCTGCCAGCAAGCATACACATAAGGGGCAACAATATCAGCAAGCACAGAGCCACCAAGAAAATCAAAATCAAGCAACTTGTAAGCTTTCTCTTCATTCTGCATCTCAGTGATGGTTGCAGGGATACATGAGTAGGCCGCCACGCCCCAGAGGCTGGTCGATCTGCATCTGCACTGCCGTAGCGATGGGATTTTGGCAAGCCGATGCAAGCAGTGTAGCTACACTCACGGGATCAGGCAGGAGCTGGACTGGATTGTCTCGCGCAGCAGCCGCCTCAACCCCTGCGTAGTCAGCTCCCAGGTCGCCGCCCCCTCCAGGGCAGCTTGAGGCGACCAGCCCAGGCCCGACGGTGGCGGCCGCTCAAAGGACGCCGCCTCCTCCGCCTGTGACGCGCGCAGCTGCTCGATCGCAGCCCGCAGCTCTGCCTGCCAGGGAAGGCTGGCGTCGGGGCCAGCGGCTGCGGCGGCTGCGGCTGAGGGTGCCAAGGGGCACGGGCCGCTGGTGCTGCCGCCGCTGCCGTCCATGGCCGCACCAACCGGGACGCCGCCAGCGGCAGGCGGGTCGCGGCGCCGCTTTGCAGCGAGTGCGGCGCTAAGCCAGGTGAGAGCGTCGCACTGCTTCACCGCGGCGTATGCCGCATTTGCGTGTGTGCGCAGCTGCTCCTGCTGTACGGTCAGCTCCTCAACCTTTGTCAGGGGGGATGGACAACGGGGTTGTGGCGGTTACAAGATGTTGAAACATCGTACGCGGGCCCGTGAGCCACCTCTTCGGGGCACTTGGCGAGGGCAGCCAGCGCTCGACTCATCTGATACGCACCCATACTGCATGGTGCCCCCCCTCGTCACCACCCCTCTGGCATTCGTCGCTGCTGGCAAACCTGGCGCTGGTGCCGCAGCACAAGGCCTTCAAGCTTTGCGAGGAGCTTGGCGGTGGTGTTCTTAGGAGCCATCGCCCCAATCATCCGAACCTCAGCTGCGCATCAACTGTGCAGCGCGCTTGTTTGCGCTGCAGCGTCCACACAAACGGGATGCCAGAAGCAACTACGTTACTCACTCATGTATCTAAAAGGTTTCAACAGCGTGAAAGGTGCGGGTTTGTAAACGCTGCTTCGATGACTAAACTTGGACGACTTCTCTTTGTGCCGGCTTCGGGTGAGTATGGCAGGCTCTGAGATACCACGATGATATAATAGAACATAGAAGTATACCTCAACTACCTTGGAGTCGTAGTCGGCCGTCACCGTCTCACCGGGGATCAAAGGAGCAGGTGTGCGGCAAGCAGCGGAGTGCACAAAGCGAGTGGGGTATCCCTGCCCGTACCCATTCCACCATATTAAATCTCGGGGTGTGCAGCATCACGCCTGTTGGCATGAATGATTGGGAAGTGGGACGAGTCATCTGCTTCTCAGATTACTGCAGTTCGCATCAGCACTGCGGCACATGCGCGTGGCGCTTGTGGCACATGCAAGCAGAGCCGTCAGCATGTCATGCACAACAAGCTATTTATGCATGGTTACCCCACAGGTGCAGCTCGTCGTCCCCCGGCATGTCGTCTTGGGGCTCATGCGCACGCCGCCGGAACACAGGGGAAGGCAGAGAAGCCACACACACAACCTCATGCATGAGCAGGTGCGAGCATACATGACTGCGCCATACATGTGATTGTAGCGCCTGGGCAGGCGCTGGACAATGCTGGAGAAAAACTGTTGACGCGTTCCGTACACGCATGTGCCCGACTCGGGGCTGTGCATGGCGCGCAGGCGACAAGCACGAGGCGAGCACAGTTGTCCAGCTCTGAGCAACCGCGTGCATGTTTGCAGGCTTTTGCCAATAAGGTGGTTTGGCACCCGGTCACTCACCAGACTGTTGATCGCGCAGGCAGTCCTACCACAAGGCCGACCCAGCCGCTGCCTATGAAGAGAGTGGGGCAATCTGCAGACACCATGTGCTTCTGGTTTCCCTTAAGAAGGGGGGGACCTTGGGTTTTGGCTGCTGCCTGTGTTCTGCAACATGCTGGGCGCGCGCGGGGGCGCTTGGGGCGTCTGGAGGGGCCGGGGGCGGGCCAGACTGTGCCATTGCACCCGGCACCCCAACCCCTAGACATGATACCGGTACTGCAGCCGTGCTCGATAGAAACATTTAAAAACCTGCCATGGATGAAATAGGAAAGGATTAAGCTTCAGTATGAACTCGATTGCAGCGCGTCCAGATCGCAATGAGCCTTCCACGGCGTTCTGGCTGCCTATCGTTCCATATCTGAAAGATTGCCTGCTCTTGAGAGCCACGGGGCGCGCCTTGGCCCTGCCGCTGCCTGTGGTCGCAACCGGGCTCGTTTACTTGCACCGCTGCCGCCGTAGCGGGCACCCCTGGACGCTGTCGCGGCACGACCTGATCTGCGGCTGCCTCTACGCCGCAGCGAAGGCCGAAGAGGTGCGCGGTTATGGCGTGCTGGGCCAGGTAGCTCTCTTGGAACTCCCTGGCTTGCCTTCTTGTTGCAACAGCTAGAGCTCAGCCTGCTAACGCATGCTGGGTTTGTGGTGTGGGTGGGTCCCTGACATCCAGCCCTGGCTGCGCCCCGGTCCCCAACCGTCCGCCCCACAGGCCCAAATGTCAACCAACCAAGCTATCAATGCGGCACGGCTTTTGGAGCAAGCGGCCAACAGGCATCTGCTTGAGGTGTGTTGGGGGAGAGAACCGCGCACCGTTTCATTTGAGGCCCCGCCTGTTGCAGCAATCTGTTGCGACACATGGGAGCAGTGGCTGCTAGCTCGCCTGCTTTGATCATGTGGAGAGCGAGCAACAGGCTGCTCAAGGGCTCACTGCATCCATCACCCCCCCGCCAAGCACAGGCGCTCGTACCCCTGGCGCGCCTCATGCCTCACCCACCAGCACTCGCCGGCGCTGCGGGCGTAGAAGCGCCCGGCGGGCCCCTTGCCGATCACGAGGCGGGTCACAGGGCAACAGGCTCCACAGACCCGAGGGACACGGAGGGCAACGGCAGCGGCAGGGACGGCAGCGGCAGTGATGGCGGCAGCGGTGGCGGCGCTGTCTTGGTGGGTGACGCGTACTACGCAGCAAAGCAGCAGCTCTTCGTGGCGGAGCAGCACGCGCTGCGCCACAACCACTTTGTGGTGGACGTGCTGCACCCGCACAAGCACGTGATGCACATGGCGCGGTGCCTCCTTGGCGGCAGCTGCGGCGGGGTTTCCAGTGGCCAGCAGCAACGCAGGTTGTCGTTTGACGGGGGCAGCGGCGGGTGGCATGACGGCGGCGCTGATGGGCATTGTGGCGGCTCAGACGGCTACGAGATGGCAGGAGATGCACCAGACGTTGCCAGGGTGGCGGTCTGTTTGCTGCACGACGCTCTGACCGCAACTGGGCTGGGGGCTGAAGAAACGACGGCGCCCGAAACGCTCGCTGCGGCAGCGCTGGTGGCGGCGCTGCAGCTATTGGCGGCGGAGCCGCCACCTGCGGCAGGCAGCTTGGCCGGTGGCGAGGGTAGCCGCGCAGCGGCGGCGGCGGCGCGTGCCGCGGCGCTGGTCTCGGCCACGGGGCTGCCCCCTGCAGAAGTTTCCCGGCTGGCGCTTGCGCTGCTGCAGGTGCCACAGGCGCTGCGCGCACGCCTGGGTAGCGCAGATGGGGCCAGCGTACCCTTGGCGGTTGCGCACGCCTAAGCCCATGGGTTGGATTTAACAGGCAATGGAAGCAACATACGCATCTTGATTGTCTCTGCAGCTTCTACTCTCTGGCAAGTTGGACAAATCAGGTGAGGGCCGTTTGTGAAGGCTGGCAGCCCGCTGCTGCGATTTGCTGCATCACAGCAGTTTCTGTCTATCCGTTTGCTGCTGACGCTCCATGCGGCAGCCCCACTCGGGTCTTGCCCGGGTGCTGGCCCCACCAGCACTCAACTTGCACCAGCTCTGAGAGCAGATGCGTGTGCGTCGAGCCAACCCCTGCCGCAACCTTGTGTGCCCCTCTCTGTTGCAGGTATCCTGGTCTGAGCGTGCGGCCCAGCGTGCGGCCCGTATGCAAGGCTGCCCCAGTCGTCAGCACGCCATCCTTGCCGGCGGCCTGCAGCCAGCAGGTTGGGAACAGTCGAAGCAGGGAGTAGACAGCGTGAACTGAAGGTTGTGACTTTTTTGATGGGGCATGTAACTGCATGGACAGTGGGATGCATGCAGCCTGGCATGAGTGTTGGTGGCACAAAAAAAAACGCCGCACGCTGCACGGGTGCATGCCCGCCATCCCCAGCTGGCCACTGCCAGATTTATGTTTCATATTCCATGCTCCATGCCGCCAACCGAGCGCACAACCACCCCAGTGCTTTGAGTGAGACATACAGATGTGTGCTGCCCCACACAAAATGTAAATTGAGGTACTGAGCAGAGGGGCCAGCGAGTAGGGCGGCGGTGAGTCCAGCAGGCCTGGCACAGTTGACGATGGCTTCGCGCTGCAGCAAGCAGTTGCCGTGGCTTTTGTGCAGTGTCGCGTTGCTGATTGCTTTGACAGTGGGGCAAGGTGTTCACGCAAGCCGGACAAACTGCAGCTGCAGCCCGGTCAGGTTGTGACGAGGTGCTTGGCCCACAGGGCAGTTTGAAGCACGCGCCAAATTGCCCTCTGGGCCAAGCACAGGCGCAACTCCCAGGACAGGTGCTCCCCCGGCGGCCTTGAAGTCCGGCGTGCGTCACACGGGCTTGGCTTTGCCCAGCCCCAGGGCGTTGAACACGGCCTCCTTCAGCATGCTGGAGCGCGGGTGCAGGGCGTGTTTCAGCGGGTCAGTTAATCGTGTGCTGCAGAGGTGTTGATGTCCAATCAGGATCTGGGTGACTACCCCTTGAAACAACCCCTGCCATCATGCGCCCTGCCCCCTCACAGCACTAGGTGGCAGGGATCCACGCACGCCCTGAGCTGGGACCAACCCAGCACTCAATAAGACGCGCCCAGCAATTGATAGCCCCCCTCCCCCCTCCCCCCTCGCCCAGACCGCGCGCGCACCACAACAGAGCCGCGCGGCCCCGCGCCCTTGCATCCCGCGTGGAGCCAGTGCATGTGGCGCCGACCCCACCCACCTGAGCAGGGGGCGGTTAAAGGCCACCGGGGTGTAGCCCTCCCCGTGGAACGCCCAGCGCGGCGCATAGACGTGGACGCGCTGCGTGGCCTCCCCCGTTGCAGGGTCCACAAGAGGCAGCCCGGCTTGTGTCTGGAGAGGGAAAGGAAAGAGGGCACTCCTCAAGTCGCTGGTGCACAAGCAAGCGGGGCAGCTCGGGCAGCTGCTGCAGCACCCCGTTACTCAATCAACCCTCTCAAGAGCTGCACGCGCCCAAGAAACACCCCTTTCCAACCCCGCAGCCACCGCCAGCCCGCCCCAGCCACTCACGTAGGCAAGAATACCCCCCCTAAGATTGGCGGCCCCCGACAGCCCCGCGTCGGTGACAGCCGATGACGTCAGCAGCTTCTGGGCGTACTGCCCCGACCTGTACCCCACGGTGCACGAGCACACGGCCTGGTGGGAAGGAGAGTGTGAAAGCACGGGGGTAAGGGTCAGGGGCACACGTGTGGGGCGGCGCCTGAAGGACACTCCCTGCTGGTGAAACGTAGCAGCTGAGAGTGGAAGGGTCATCACAGCCTTGTGGGCCGGGGATGGAGTGCGGCAGCGGCTCCCTTTAGCGTAGGCGAGCGACGGATTGGGATGCAGCGCAGCAGTTGGGGCGCCAACACATGGTGCCCACCTGGCAGCCCCTCCACTTGCCGGGGTCGGCTTCGAACTGGGCGCGCGTGACGACAAAACCAGGAGGGCCCGGTATCATGGACACCTGCACACACGGGGGCGTCCGCGGTCAGTCGCACGCGCACCTGCCAGCAGCGGCCACGGTACAACGCCGTGCCCCGCACTAGCTGTGAGGTTTCAGCTCCTGAGCCAAGGGCGCGATGGCCCTCTGGCTTGCAACCAGCCGTGGCAAGAGCCGCCTGCGTTTGTGCACCAGGCGCTCTGGCGGTTGCCCCATGCTGCGCGAGTCCCCACCCGGTCCCGTGCCCGTGTTGAGGAGTCCAGCGGCCGCACCTGTTGCTCCTCTGGTGTGCGCACGTCGACGAGCACGACGCCGCCCCCGCCGTCGAGCTTGTCGCGCAGCTGCTGGGCCGTCACCTCGGGAACCTGCGTTGCATTGGGGCTGGTGCCATGAGGTGACAACAGGCGGCAGTCAAACCGATGCGCCCCCCTGGCGCACTGCTTGTCGAACGGGGACGCCTCCATCGGCCCCGACCCCAAGGTCTCCGCGCTCTATCGCTGTCACGCGGTGCGGCACGTGGTGCAGCGCCCCTGCATGCGTTGCACATGCATGCATGCGCGCCTGGGTGCGCACATGCTGGTGGTGACGTGTGTGAGGGCGCCCACCCCAACAAAGGTCTCGTCCCGCAGGGTGTTGCAAAACTGCTCCAGCCTGGCACGCCGCTCATCAGCTGGCAGCAGTGCCGATTCTGAAATTGAAGACGACATGGAGCAGCGGGTAGAGCCGGCAGAAAGCAGGCCCACGCCGGCCACAGCCGCCGGCAAGCCCAACCTGGCCGGCCCAGCAGTGAGAGTGCGCTGCCTGAGACTGTTGCGGCGTGAGGCCGCACAGGTGATGGCGATAGGGCGGCAGTGTTGAGAGCGAGCCCGTGAAGTGGCAGTGCAGATCGGTTGCTGTTGTACAAGACACATCAACTGATCCTCTGCGCCCGCTGGGTGACCAGAGATCAGGCTCAGGACCGCGCGAGAGTCTCAGGATCGCGCGACGGCGTCTCGGACACAAGAGTGTACTTCAAGGCCGCAAAAAGGGCGGCATATCGATCGATTTTGACGTGTGTACGCGAGGGCATGACTGCTCAGCCAACAATGAGCCTAATGCGCGGCACCTGCGGCACCCCTTGTCCCTGGCCCCCTGGGCTCCGCGGCTGGGCACCGGTGCGACTTGCAGCCTGACAGCACACCGCACACCTGGCATTATCCAGGTTCAGGATTACTGCATGGCTTGGGTGCACGCTAGGACACTGATCGCTCGCGTGAAGAAGCATGATCCTAGGGTACACATGCAGCGGGCGCAGTTGAAGCAGCCGCCCAGCAGCTACCTCGGCAACATCCCCGCCCCCCGCAGCTCACAGCAGCCCGTGCAGCACACGCTCTCGTGCCTCCTCCACGGCACTCGGTGGCAGCAGGTGTCCCAGCCCCCCCGCCCGCAGCGCCGCCCGCAGGTCCGCCGGCGTCACCTCCTGCCGGCCAGCGCCCAGCGCCAGCCCCTGCGCCGCCGCAAACTGCTCCGTCAGCAGCGCCTCCGCCGCCGCTGCCAGCGCCTCCAGCGCCTCGGGCTCCATTTCGTAGTCCTGCGGCAGCGCCGCCGCCGCCGTGCCGCCGCCGCTGCCGCCGTCCGCGCTGCCGACCCCTTCGACTGCCATCCCGCTGCTGCCCTCTGCGGCGCCGCGGCCGCTGCTGCTGCCAGGCCCGCCAGTGCCGCCGCCGCCCTCGCCGCTGTGCGGTGCGAGGGCGTCCTCGAGCGCGTCCAGTGCCATCTGCTGGAAATCTTCCTCCGCCCACGCTGGCCGCGCGGCGCCCGCGGCGCCCTGCTCCTCAGTCACCTGCCGCAGCGCCTCCACGTCGCGCAGCGGCGCCGTCAGCGCCCGCAGCCGCGGCAGCGCGGCGCCGATCGCGGCGGCCGCGGCGGCGTCGCCGCCGTCTCTCCCGCCGCCGCCGTCGGCGCGGCGCAGCTCTGGGTCGAACCACCAGGCGCGCTGCAGCGCGTAGAGCCGCGCCCCCTCCAGCAACTCCTCCACCTGCTCCGCCGACAGCCGCGGCGCCGCCCCCGACAATGGCCCGCCGCCGCTGCTGTTCCGCGCAGAGCTTGTTGACGACGAGGCAGCGGCAGCGGCCGAGCCGGGCAGCGGCAGGGGCTCGAGCGCGGGTAGGTACCGCAACAGAGAGGCGCGGCATGCGGCCAGGCGCTCCTCAAGTGACTGCCCCCGCTCCGCCGCGGCGGTGAGCTCCGCGCAGCGGCCGCACTGTCGGCCCGACAGGAAGCAGCAGCGCGCTGCGGCGCCGCCGGGGCCGCCGTCGTAGCCGCAGTAGTGGTGCAGGTCGGCCGGGAAGACCAGCGCGCCGCCGCCGGCCGCCATGGCGGTGCGGGGCCGCAGCGCGGCCAGGGCGGCGAGCACGGCTGTGAGGGGCTCGCGCTTGGGGTCCGGCAGCAGCGCGGCACGCATGGAGGGCGCTGCGCCGGCGCCCGCGACGGATGCACCGCTGTGGGTAGGTTGGCGGAAGGTGCGTTGAAGGGGGGGCATTTAGGTGCTGTCGACAAGGAGGCTGGAGTGGGTCGAGAGTTGGTCAGGCTAGCCGCTGCAGGATACAGACTGAAGGGGGCGGCACAGGGCGCCCCGTCCCATGCAGCTTGGGACCAACAGCGCGTGAGCTCCACGTCAGCACGCTCAAAATTCACAAACAGCGTCACCACGCCGCACGCCCTCCCCCCAAAACATCCTAAGCTGCAGGAGCACACCCACCCGTGGAGGAACAGCGCTGACAGCGCGGGGTCACTCGAGGCCGCCAGCAGCACCTCCCGTGCCGTCACCACCGTCGCCGCGGGCTCGCCGCCGCCGCCAACCCGCGGCACCGTCGCGCCACTGGCGCCGCCCCCTGCCGCGGGCGCGCGTGCCAGCGCGGCACCCAGCAGCCGCTCCATCGCCACCTCCAGCGCCGCCGTCAGCACCACGACCCCCTCGATGCTCCTGTCGCCCCCAAACTCCCCGCCCGGCCCCGCCGCGCCGCGCTGCGCCGCGGCGCCCTCGGCGCCCGCCGCG